GATGCACACGCACACACACACACACACACACACACACACACACACACACACACACACACATACAAAGTTACAAATGCCTATTGCTTGATAGGTTCTTCGTAGGCACACGAGATGTAATATCCTTGATCACAGTTTTGTGACGGCGGATTTCTATATAATAATTGCTTCTGACAGTTTTCTTTTAGTAAAGTCAAGACGTTTGGTCGAGAGGATGCAACATGTTCCCGTGTTTATTTCAGGTGAACCACTGACTTGCCTTTGCATGTGTTTGTGACTGGTGCCACCAGTGATGCAAATACGCACAGCCTTTCGCGAACATCTGGTATCATCACTATTTCACAGTGCTTCATAAACACATGGTCATGATATAGTTGGAATTGTATAACCGACTGTGCTTTCGGTGGAGATTTCTTATGAATATGGAAATGGTTTTGTTGCTCTTATTTAATGAAGGCAATACGGTACTCGATGCAGTTATGGCGTTACAAGAAACATATACTGTTCAAACGCGCCTACATATGTTTTCACACAGAACTAGGTGAGGTGAGGTAATATGGGGTTTAACGTCGCGTTAAAGATTACTGGAGTTATATAGCGACGTGCATGCACGTGTGTGTATGTGGCTGCTTGTATTTGTCCAAACTAATGCTGAGTATTTTTATGCTAGTCCTCAGACACAGAATACTCACTCCGAGCCGATCAGTCCTTGTTTTATTCCCTTAATGCTGAGCGCAAGTACAAACAGCCATACACGCAGACGCCAAAAGATGTAAAGAGATGGCACTTGTTGTTACTAGGCCTGGCGCTGGGCGTTTCGGGGAAAAGTGAGTGAGTGAGTGAGTGAATGAGTATGGTTTTACGCCGCTTTTAGCAATATTCCAGCAATGTCACGGCGGGGAACACCAGAAATGGGCTTCACACATTGTACCCATGTCGGGAATCGAACCCGGGTCTTCGGCGTGACGAGCTACCCGACCGCCCCTGTTTCGGGGATAAGACAAGAACTTGTCGGTTCAGAGTTTCATAGTATAATGTGTCTGAGTGGAGTGTAAAACTGCGACATGGTATCTTCCTGGGCTAGAACTATAAAGCCGGAGCATACACACACATGCACGTCGCTATAGAAGCGCAATGTTCATGAACACGACCCTTCACATTCACTCACTCTACGAAAAGATAGTTTTAGTGTTGTCGTCATTTCAGTTGACTGACACCCAGATTACCAGATTAAGCAAACAATGAAGGCTGATCTTTACCTCCTGTTGTTGGTCGTCACCGTGATGCTGCCAGACAATACGCTGGGACTTCGTCGCTGGTTCAGAAAGACTTTCAGGAGGGTCATTGATAGTATCATCAGAAGACGTGAGAATACCATACTCATAGCGGTATCACTAATATTTCACACAAACATCCATATGACCTACACATGCTCTCGATAGTCCTAAGCACACGAAATCATTCTTCAGAATACATGTACAACTCACAGCTGTGTCAGGTGTAACATACATGTACATGGAAGACATTATCCAATTGAAATATATACTCACCGCCAAAGGAAACGCGAAATTTTGGTGAATATATGAAGACTGACTCATATTCAAGAGATATTCATGTGTTCGATTCCCAAACGAACATACTGGTATGTTGTGTGAACCGATGCTCATTCACGCATCACATGTGATGTCATAAATCTAACACTCGAGATGCACAATTTGTCTTGTGCAGGATTAGCGTGTCAAGTTATAAATCACGAGCAGCATATGAATATAGTAACTCTGTGGTAATAATTGGCTTATTGTCAGTTTAGTCATTAAGTGGTACACATTGGAAACATATCTTCTTAACGATCATACTTCTCTTAATGTTTCCTTGGTTCGCGTTTCTTTTGGCGGTCAGTATATATTGTTCGAACCAGCGTGAATTGGTCTCTGAAAAACGATGTTCAGTTGTATTCGTCTTGAAGTGTTAGTGATTCTTCTAAATACTTCCTTCGGTTGTTTTTGCTGTGCATTCTGATCAACTAAATATAAGGAAGAATGACGTCATGACATTCCAGGTTTTCGTTATGTTTGTCTCACCTGATTGACTACATGAAGAAAAGTGCTACGGAAAACTGTCAATAAAGAGTGACATCGATATGTCCCCAGATAATCTAATTTCAAACCCCTGTTATATGACGAAATAATACACAACCAAGTGAGTAATATCCTGCGCAGGCACCATCGCTGTATGGGTACTAACGGGAAACATTACTTTAATCAAGAACAGATTAACAACTGCTAGACTTAAATATACTAAAGTACTCATGGAAAGGAAAAAAACTGTTTTGCTGGATTTAATAATCGACACAAAGCATTACGTAGATGTAAATACGAAATAACAAAACAACTGGAAAAGTACTAGTCTGGATTTGCTAGTTTTATCTCAGTGCTCAATACAAATTGACATGGCACAAACAGGCTATAGGCATTATGCAAATTAGCCTGGAAAAAAGTTATCAAGACAACCACAAAAATACAAGGCTATGTTTACGTACATAATAATAATGACATGTAAGTTGTTGTTTGAGAAGGGAATATGTTACTTTTACGTTCTGATATTTTGACGATGATTCACTATCCCACAATGCAACTCACAAATCACTAACCACTGACAAATCACATGCACGTGGGTTTCAAGCACCTGTTTTCACCTGTCTTCAAGGTGTCATAGGTCATGGACATTCACCTTGATCTACTAACACCTGGTTATGCTCAGTTTCACAATAGTCTGTTTTGATCATATTTTTACACAATTTTACGTGCAAAAAGACATAAAAACCTTTCATACGCTGTATTTGTGCCAAGGCCCAATTAGTACTAATTGAGTTGTTTGAATATTTATATATTTGGTATATTAACTGCATTTATTTAAAATCTGAGATCGAAAAAACAGGGTTTTTTTTCATTTCCGTGAGTACTTTATTATAGCACTTTATATTTATTACCTATATAGTCTTATGTCACAGACTAGGCATCTCTACAGCACTCCACTGCCTCTTTAAGTTCCCTCATCCCATTCAACCCCCTTTACTATTTTCATTCCTATTTATACTCACCCTCATTTATAGTTTATTGGTTCTGACCTTTAATCAGTTATTCCCAATTATTACTTATCTAAACCCGTCTTTCCCCGACTGCGACATAGCCTACGGCTGTAGCGGTCGTAAAATCCCTGTTGTTACTGCTGCTGTTGTTGTTCAGAACGGATGAAGTGATTTAATATAATACAGACGAACACACCACGGTACTGGGCGGTCCGACATCCTGCCGGTTATGGGTAGTTTAGGAGTGACCACCTTGTGCAACAACACTTTGGGTGCGAGTGGTGGTTGTGTATCATTATACGTTGAATGTGGGACCGGATGCTCGGACTTAAACCTGTAAACATATATTCATTACTGTGCAGTGTTCGTTCCCATGTAGGGGCGACAGGATAGCCTAGTGGTTAAAGCGTTCGCTCGTCATGCCGAAAAGCCGGGTTCGATTCGCCACATGCATATGGATGCAATGTGTGAAACTCATTTTCTGGGGTCGCCAGCCGTGATACTGCTGGAAGATTGCTAAAAGCGGCGTAAAACCATAATCACTCACCCACTAATCTGCTTGTTATCACAATACATAATTTGTGTGCGTGTGTGTGTGTGTGCGTGCGTGCGTGCGTGCGTGCGTTTGTGTGTGTGTGTGTGTGTGTGTGTGTGTGTGTGTGTGTGTGTGTGTGTGTGTGTGTGTGTGTGTGTGTGTGTGTGTGTGTGTGTGTGTGTGTGTGTGTGTGTGTGTGTGTGTTTGGTGTTTGTACAAAGATCTAACGACGAGAAATAATGTTTCATGCACGGTGAATTGTGTATGTAATGTGGTCTCACCCGATCGCAACGTTAATGGCAGGAGACCAGGTAGATTAACCCCTATAATGGCCGCCTAAACGGAATAACATTAATCTTTATGTATTCGCAATTTATTTATTATGTAATGTAAGCTGAGGTCTAGATTGGGTGTAGATCGTCTAAAGCAGCGCAAGATGCTCCTCAGAGTTGCGTCCCTTAGGCGTGATTCAGATTCTTGGTTTGGCACCTCGATGTGCAAGGTCTAAGATGCGCATAGTGTTGTTGTTTTTTGTACATTCAATGATCATCATGTCTCTACACATATTTGACAAGCAAAATATATTAATCGAGATTGACAAGACACACGCTTTTAACAGATATTTTTATTGTTATACGACTGTTCAAAGGACACAGGAAGACCTTATACCTTATCAAGAAGATACTGTTTCAGTGCCACTAAAATCGTACCAAAAACGAAGTTGAATGACTTTAATTCATAAATAAATTACATAAATGATCATTCGTGCTATTTAATGTTTTTACTACATACAATTTTGAGTGAAGTAGTGAGCTCAGTACGAGGACGAGGCTTTTCGCTAGCCGATTAACAAAATGACATTTTGGGCAATTTGCGTTACCAACAGGGGCTCTTGTAAATCTTTAATGTCTGAGAAACATAAAATGAAATAAAGGAAACAAACTGCAAAAGAACACAGTAAGGATGCTGCTGTTGTTATTGTACAAAGACAACATGCAGCCCTGACATCAATTTGTTTGTTTGTTTGCTTTTTAACGCCGCACTCAGCAATAATCCAGCTATAAAACGTCGAGTTGTAAAAAATCACGTCTGGACCAGACAATCCAGTGATTTGCATCATGAGCATTGATCTACGCAATTGGAATACGATGGCATGAATCAACCAAGTCAGCGAGCCTGACCACTCGATCCCGTTAGTCGCCTCGTACAACAAGCATGGGTTGCTGAAGATCAATTCTAACCCAGATCTCTACAGTCACCTCTGACGTAAACCATGTAAGCAAAATGTTTCCCAAAATAGACTTAACAATACTGATTACCGATTTAACACATTTTACCATTTGGTTACAGACACCGCAGTTCCTCATGGTGTTCCATCGCTCACAGGTCAATATTAGTTTTATTGGTCACTTATAAGCTGTTTTACATTTATCCATATTTAGGACATAGCCAGAAAAATCCAGTGTCCAACTGTACTTGAAGTAAGCAAACAAAAGTTGGCATGGCTTTTCATTAATATCGACCAAGTACTTTTTCACCTGTAACCGTGAACTGGCCAGCAATGACATTGGATTCAACAGCGGGGCTGGCGTTAGGCTGCTGACCTCCTACCCATATTGAAATGACACCTGAAAGGAAACATAAAATTGATTTAGTATAAACCATTACGTCAGTTATAACAACGGATATAAATGTTACATTAAAGAGGATAGGATGTGTACAATGTGTGAACTGATTGTACTCCTAGGTTATGCTAGACCGCCTACGTGGTCTGGTGAAGGAGCGTCCGCCCGGAGAGCGGGAGGTCCGGGGTTCGATCCCCGGCCGCGTCATACCAAAAGACGTTAAAAGATAGTACTTGTTGTTGCCCTGTTTGGCGCTCGGCATTAAGGGGCTAAAACAAGGACTGGGCGGCTCGGAGTCAGTATACTGTGTCATGTTAAACTGTGCCATGGTATCTCAGTGGGCTAGCACTATCAATTGGCATCCGTCCGGACTAGTACACGCAGCCACAAATACACACACGTGCATGCACGTCGCTATATAAGTGCAATAATCTTGGACGCGACGTTAAACCCCTTTTACCTCAACATCTAGGTTGTGCTATCCACGATTGCTTTGTCAGGCCCAGATCTAAGATCTACTGGGTGCTATGACATAGCTGATTTAATAATAGGTGGAAATAATGTATTTGTACATAGGCTGTGTTCTCTCTTCGATACCTGTTTATGACATCAACAATTGGGTTTCTGGTCTTGATCACATGCCACTCACAGTGCATCGGTCGTACACTCGCACAAAGTCACAATCAATCATCGTGTGGTTTGGAACTAGGACGATCGGCTTACCTGGTTCAACAACCCATCCATTTTGTTCAGTCCACACTGCCATGGACTCAGCCGAGATGGTGAATTCCCATGACGTCTGGGCGCCCCGTGGTGCAAACATCCTGTTGAAGGACACAAGCTGAAGCTGTGGAACCGTCACCGTGGCGTTCGACCAGGATATATACACCTGGATGACCTGAAATAGAGCAACGTTGTGCGTTTTAAATAATAGAAGTATTGTTCTGATACTCGCGACAGGCATGGTTCACATCTATTTAATATTAATATTTGACAGTTCCTTTCCGACAGACCCTGACCTCTTTATTATTGTTAATAAACAACGGTCAAAATATAGGTATCCAAATGACATATCTCTTTTCTTTTACTCTAAAAGACCTGTAGAGATCTGGGTTAGAATTGATCTTTAGCTCGTTGAAAGAGGTGACTAACGGGATCGAGTGGTCACGGTTTCAGGCTTGGTTGATGCATGTCATCGTAGATGCGTAGATCGATGCTCATCATATCACTCACTGGATTGTCTGGTCCAAACGCGATTGTTTACAGACCGCCGTCATATAGTTGGCATATTTTTAGTGCACCCTTTAACAACAAATGATACTCTCGAGCTGTTTCAAAGATATTTAACGCACATTAAATGGTGGGCAAAGAAGTGAGAAAATCTGGTAGTGGCATTGCCGTGCTGGAATATCCATATGAAGATGATGAATGTTTTCCTTCAAGATACTGGTGTTGATATTTCAGGAAGGAGGAAAGTCGGTAATTCTTTGTATTCTAAAACAATTTCATAGCACTTTCGGCGATACATACCTCATCAGCATCAAAAGATCCTCGATTGATAAGTGAGACAGAACCAGTCAGGTCGTCTCCGGCTGTCACCTGAGTGGTATACTCCAAAATGTTGTAGAAGAAGCTGGTGTAGGAAAGACCATAGCCGAAGGGGAAGAGAACTGGATACGTGGCGTACCGGTATGTGCGTCCGACCATTGAGTAATTTGTCATGTCAGGCACCTTGTGAAATAATATAGGTAATTAATCGTAATTTCACATCAATCTGTTACATTTGATGTAGTCCGGGTACTATTTATATAAGAATCCACAGATGAACATGTTCATGACCAGGATATGTCAGTTCGTGTTATCTAAAGGCAGATTCGTCCTGATATTGTTTATGATTATTACCAGGATATACCAGATCGTGTTATCTGAAGGCAGATTCGTCCTGGAATGTTTATGATTATTACAAGGATATGCCAGATCGTGTTATCTAAAGGCAGATTCGTCCTGATAGTGTTTATGATTATTACCAGGATATACCAGATCGTGTTATCTAAAGGCAGATTCATCCTGAGAATGTTGGTGATTATTACCAGGATATGCCAGATCGTGTCATCTGAAGGCAGATTCGTCCTGATAATGTTTGTGATTATTACCAGGATATGCCAGATCGTGTCATCTGAAGGCAGATTCGTCCTGATAATGTTTTTGATTATTACCAGGATATGCAAGATCGTGTTATCTAAAGGCAGATTCGTCCTGATAGTGTTTGTGATTATTACCAGGATATGCCAGATCGTGTTATCTAAAGGCAGATTCGTCCTGATAGTGTTTGTGATTATGTCAGCACCATTACCGTGCTCATGGTCGTCACCAATGAAGTTAACAATTAATAACCGCATCATTCTTGGCTTTCCTCTCAGAAAAGCTGACACGCCGCGAAGTACCTGAACTACTGTTTGAAGCGGCGTTACACCAAACTCACTCACTCATGCCTACCTGACAGTTTCGATGATGGTTAGCCCAGATTCATGATTTACCATGCCCTGAGCAGTGAGCTAAACAAGGAATGTACACGATACAATTTGCGGGTATTTCTTTAAACAAATAAAAGCGACAACACCCAAATGAAATGTCTGCCCAAAACATTGTACGATTCCGACTATATCATGCGCAGGCGTTTATGAATCGCTATCAGATAGTGATGATACCAGGGCTTCGCGAGAAGGTGAGCATATCCTGCGTCACCGATGGTACCAATCACAAACACATGAAAATACACATGGTACAAGTAATGATAGGGAACTGCATCGGACATCATTTTTGTCACTGATGTGTCGAATCTGGAAAATTCCTACACCTGTCTACCATGACACTTTTTCAAAGCTTTTCTCAGGCCTTGAATGTTACAATAATCAAACCATTTCTGAGCAAGAGTTGTATTACGCTCTTTGAAAACATCTTAGAAAGAGCATGCTCGATTGTATCTCAAAAGTTGTGAAATGTAGACACCAAGGCTGGAACTGCTGGAATATTGCACGACCTGAAGGTAAAGTGATGAAGCGGTCTCGTCCTGATTACCTTGTTTTGACTTTGCCAATCCGAGCAGAGATTCTGATTCATATGTATAAAGAAACAGATCCGCAAGAAGGGGAGGGCAGTTGGTGCCCATGGGGATGCCTACATCTTGCCCATATATCTTAGCCCCAAAATTTTAGATGGCATTTGTTTCCATTATTGACAAATTGACCTGAACCCCAGAAGATAGATACGTTACTATGTGCCACCACGTTGGAGCTTTGAAATCCAGCGCAAAAGGGGAATGGACATGTCTTCAGGTCTTAGAGTCAAGTCAAAAGTTGACAGTACTGATACATGGCTTGGGCAGATCTCTTCCTCAGTTAACATACTGGCCTTATATGTGCCATGTTTTTATATATCATTTATACCAAGTTGACAACTGACATGAACTGACAACTGACTCACTTTCATTACCCTCAGTGCCTTTTGAGAAATTATCTTCACCTAATAAATATATATATTAAGGAAGAACATCAACATTATTCACGGCACATGCGGCAAACTAGATATGAAACAACAGGGTCACGGTACTGTCACTTACGAAAATGTTCTGTCGGCACTGACATTCAAATGTTTTCTGAAGAAATACCGAGGTCTGGCGAACACTTAAATCCTGATAATGTGAACAAAATACGAAAGTCATCAAAAGAAGAAACATACGAATGACATTCACAGGGACCTTGACCTTTTACATGTAAACCTTGATCAAACAACTATTGAGAAAGAATCGTATGACGTTCAAAGTTTTACTAAAGGTTGAGATGTAAAAACTACAATATTTAGACTTACTGTGTCCATATACCTTGGCCACGTGACCGGAAGTCTGGCAGCTGGAACTGAGTTGGGTCCTTCAGCTAAAAGCACCCGTCGCAATGCCTCGCCTGTCGCTTGTGCCGGCAAAAATAGTTCCATGATGGCGTGAACCTTTGGACTGTCAACAGCCCATGTGATGTTGAGTGGTCCAGCATTGAAGAGAAGAAGAATGACCTTCACACCCGATACTTTAAGGAAAGACGAACTGATCACTTGTCGAGTCGACAATACTATCCAATAGTGTGAATTTGGTTGGTGTTGCCGTTGTTTTAATTGATCTGGTTGTAGAAGGTAGCAACACTGTCTTAACAGATGACAGAGAAATGGCCATTTGTATTATGAATTTCCGAAAATACCCGCAGTGGCTCAATGTTATTAAATGTGTTGTCAAACTCCCACCTACCCTGGCCGGCGGTGACAGCTTCCTGCAGCAGCTGCAGCTGTTGTCCAGGGAGGTCCAGATTGGCCCTGTCGTTGCCTTCAGCCTCTATCTCCGTACCTGAAAGAAAACGTTTGGTTCGCATCAACAACAAGGCTCTGCACAAATTATAAAAAGTCACAGGTTTCCACATCTACCTTACATAATTTTTGTGTGTGTTTGTTGTCTACATCGGACATTGTACTTTGACAAAATGTTAAACGTCAACAATCCGCCGATACAGACACCATCGGGTGCAAGACTGCGGTGAAAATCACATGAATGGGTGACTAAAAAATAAAGGTGCCCACCCAACCGGCAAGCAAGCATAAATTAATATCTAATTTTCTATGCATTACTTATGATCTAAGTGACTGACATGATCATACTCTGAAAATCATAAAGAGCTTTAGGGAGTCTGCTTTTTTCATTTCTGGTGATATATTGATTTATTATTTGCAAATAAACACAGTATGTCACAGTACACACTAAATAAATCCTAAACAGAAAAATGTTGCTCAATTAAGATTAAGAGCCTCACCTGTCCCAAGACACACAAAAAGTAGATCACTGCCTTTTGCTGCTGTCTGGACTTCCTGGGAGTTATACTGAGTGCATTTGGTGTCTGTGCAGCCTGCCCCATACCTCACTGTAGACCAGATAGACTGTAGGCCTTGTAGAGGGTTGGTGGTGTATCTGAGGTTCATATCAGGGGAGTAGTCTCCAAACAGTGCATTCGAATTGTTGGCCATTGGTCCGACAACCTGTTGGACAAGAATCCACTTTCATTGTGTTTTGGTTATTTTTTACTTAACACCGCATTCAACTATTACAGGTAAATGACACTTATTACACCCGACCCTGTCAAAACAAATCTTCAATAGCACACACCTACCGCCACATTCTTGTAGCTCGATGGCTTTAAGGGAAGCACATTTTCTTGGTTTTTCAGCAACACAAATGTCTTCATTGCTGCCTCAACAGACAGGTTCCTGTGAGCCTCACCCTGAACTATTGAAACGTTCAGTTTTGTGTATTGATTCATTTCCGGTGGGTCGAACTCTCCAAGCCTCATCCTGACATTAAAAAGCTCCTTAACTCTGGTCCTGACCTCGTCTTCAGTCAGCTTGCCTTGTTTCACAGCATCAACTGCAAGAAAGCAGACAACACTGCTCAGTACTGTAGCTTACATGGTGCAATTCAGAGCCCTACATTGATTCTGATAGTTTCGATTCCTGGTCGCGTCATAAGAAAAGACGTTAAAAGATGGTACTTGATGTTACCCTACCAGTTTAGCCTTAGGGGCAAAAACAAGGACCGGTCGGCTCGGAGTCAGTATACTGTGTCCGAGTGTGGAATTCCTGAAGTGCGACATGGTATCTCAGTGGGCAAGCGCATTAAAGTCGGCATTTGTCCTGACTAGAACAAGAATCCAAACATACATGTGCATGCATGTCGCTATACAAGTGCAATCATCTTAGACGCGACGTTAAACCCCATTTGACCACACCTTGTACGAGTCTGGACTAATGCTGGGTATTCAAGACTAAAGCCGCAGTTAACATGGATACTCCACTCAGAGACACAGTATACAGACGCCTACCCGAACAATCCTTGTTAGTTCCCCATTACGCCAAGCTCCAGGTAGAGGAATAAATATTCCCATCACATAACGTCTTTTCTTTTGACGAACCACCGAACTTAATCTCTCCATGCAGAGGCTCTGTACACGACACTCGGGCGGTCTCAGTTCAACAGAATCATAAGGATATTGAGACCTAACAATGTGGAAGCAATGTCATTTGGGGCACAGATGAACTTCAGTTCTTAGTATAAATATTGTATGCCAGGTTTACAATACCCTTTATGAACGCATCAATAACAATCTTTGGCAATGTACTAAATCAGACAATGATACGTTTTACTGTAAATCAAGTACCTATATTTCAACAAGTCAGCTAACGCTCCTACAAAAACAAAGCGCCTGACCGGTGTTGATCAAGCTCCCGAAACGTAGAAGTCGAAGTTACCAGACTTACGACCAATGCCCTAATGCTCTACACCATGAGGCGAAAATATGAAACATTCAACCAAATTCAGATACAGACATATACCTTGCTCACACACCGTTTGCTTTAATGCCGTATATTATACTCAAGCAAGACCGCCTCCGTGGTCTAGTGGTAGAGATCCGTCCGGAGGTCGGAAGGTCCGGGGTTCGATCCCCGGCCGCGTCATACATACAGACGTTAAAAGATGGTGCTTGTTGTTACCCTGTCTGGCGCTCGGCATTAAGGGACTAAAACAAGGACTGGTCGGCTCGGAGTCAGTATACTGTGTTTGAGTGGGGTATTCATGTTAAACCGAGGCATTGTATCTCAGTGAGCGAGCACTGAAATTGGCATCCGTCCGGACTAGTACAAGCAGCCACACAAACACACACACGTCGCATTATAAGTGCAAAAATCTTAATGTTAATCCCCATTGCACCTCACCTATACTCAAGCAAACAAGCATTCGTGTGCATTTTGCAGATATGTATTGTTATTATTATTTTTTTACTCTGTTAACTATGAATTTTAGTATAGATGTTGGTCAGGTGCTCACGCCAAATGACGTCCAGATGGGATCGTGCGGCAATCGGATGAACAATGAACGCGTTTCTCGATGGTAAACTCTAAACCGTGAACACTATATACGTACCAACTGACATGAAAACGGGCTGAGTTAAGTTTAGTGACAACTCGAGGTTGCATCCAGCCTTCACACACGCTGCGACGGTGTCGACGCTGTTGTTGAGGTAGTGGTGTAGAGTGATGATGTTCTCAATGGCAGATTGGTCACTGACCACGTAACCTTTGAAACCCCATTCGGTTCTTAGAATATCCGTCAGAAGCTTCTTGTTGGCGCATGCTGGAACTCCGTTGATTCTTGAAAAATACGGAATACACATTAGATTGGATTCTTACGAAATCATATCACTTTTACCGATAGCAACACACAGTTTGTCTTCCAGCTTTGTGGAACGGACTGCAGGACGCGAATTTATGGAAATAGAAATAGACTGTCGTTGTAGAATGTAGAACTCGGCAATTCTGGTAGAACGGATGATTAAGGAGTAATGTTTCGTTTTTAGAAGTAGCTTTCATTTTGACTACTCACTTATTGTAACTGCACATGAGACTGTAGGTCCCGGCCTTAACACAGGTGCGGAATGCTGGGAGAAATGTAGTGCGCCAGTCTCTTTCAGACACCTGTAAGAAAAAGTGAGTGAGTGAGTGAGTGAGTGAGTGAGTGAGTGAGTGAGTGAGTGAGTGAGTGAGTGAGTGAGTGAGTGAGTGAGTGAGTGAGTGAGTGAGTCACTTTAAAAGTCACTTTAAAAGTCACTTTTAGCCATATGGCCGCGGTGGACATCAGAAATGGGCTTCACACATGGTAGGGAGTCGAACAAACAAGGTCTACGGAAAGGTTTACCCCACCGCCCACGATGTTCAATGAAAGAATGCAATTAGTAATTTTTCGTGGTGCCATATACATGTACATGTAAATTTCAGGTTTTACTTCCTACACATTAAAAATAAGTTGACAAATGATAAACTGAATTAGATTTGAAGTTGTTGTCGATCTCTATACTGAACAAGGGACTTTGCTTTTGACATAGGTTTCATATGATTATGGAAATGTCGTTATGATTTACCAAGAAAGGAATGGCCACAAATAGAATCCTATATTGCATTCAGGGACATTATACTAGCTGTGCAACTGTTGGTAGTACAAAAGTTGAGATATCCGAATCATATTTGTCCGAAAACAATCAATTTGGGAATATGGCAGATTCCCTTCATGTTACGGAACACGAATTGTCAATGACAATTAATGAAAAGGAATGAAGAAGAGGCACTTTTAGATGCATGGATTTTGTTCTCACTGTGAAGTGACGTGTTGTTATGTGACGTGACGTGACCTTATATTTCTGACCTCTGCATTAAACGAGAAACGTGACACCGGTATATTATCGGGGCCGCCATGGACATTGAAGTGCTTGCAGCCGGCGTTGGCTCTGATGTAGCGGGGATCGCTTCCCTGGAGACCCTTCACGAAATTGGCAGCAAAGACACCTGACAGGTGTGGATCCTCTCCATATGTTTCCTGTACAAAATGAGCAATAGGGACTGTATGAACCGAAGCGCACAAATAATGGTTTTGTTGCTTTTAGTGTCAGGACATTCTCTCAGCTGCTTAACGTACATGACGTGGGTTGTTCCTTCTTATTTGTGTGGTAGTAGGTCAAAGTCATGTTCATACCCTTGAAGACGGTTTTGTGACATCGTAACCCAGGGCACTGTACTGTTCGCCTTAGATTAGGGTTATAGATTATACAGATAACGTGATAAGGATAAGGTCAATGTAAACGTACCGTTTTTAAACCTTGCTATTTTCTACAGTTATTTTGATATGTCAATGTATGCAGTGGTTTAACAAGATAAACTACAAATGTGTATCAAACTAAACAGTTGTCATTAAACTAGTAGGTCACTGTGGTCTACTGTTTCGTTTCTTTATTTTAGTTTAAAATTCACCGATATGTGTGATATAACACATGTTCTTGATCAAGGAGTATGTAAATCTGTCATAGAGGTCATCTATTGAACAGACACTTCCTGATCATTATCATTTCGCATAATTGACAGACATTTCGTCTCTCAGTAAGATAATTAATGGATGTCATCTTCTTTATTATGAGGGACACAACGTTTCGGAGTATATACTTACTCCTTCACCACCTGATAAAGGAGTAAGTATATACTCCGAAACATTGTGTTCCTCATAAAAAAGAAGTTGACATCCATAAATCCTCTTCCTTATGTGCCTTTCAAAGACTTGATTTCATTTCTGGATCATAAATCAGAAAACATTAACAAAACCTTATATTGTACCAAAATAACTAATTTCATTAGTAAATTATACTTATCCTTATATTGTTTCTGCAAAGTTTATGTTGTGTTACGTCAAATGGAAATAATTTTACTGGGACTTGGTTTCAAATCAATACTCCATGAACAATGTTGTGCTGAATCGTGTAAGTCAAGGCAGCATAATCGCACATGATCCAGCCGAAGGCCGACCTAATTCCGGTCGCCTCTGGGGTCTCTCACCTGATTCCTGCCCCACCTGGGGTCTCTCACGATGTTGATGACTGGGCTGAAACAGCTGATACCCTTGTGAGTGCCGTATATCCCATGCGCTGTGAAATCGTTATACTTGGCCCTCACCTCCTCACCTGTGGCCTGGGCTACCCGGAATATCAGATCTGTGCTGCAGGAAGGGCGAATCATTTAACATTTTGCTTGGATGTCAATAAATTCACTTACATGTTTAGCTAATAAAGTGTTTTGCATTAAACTATTGGAAATGAAAACATCCGTTGGTGAATGATTCGCATATCGGCGAGACGATGTTGCAATAGTTCAGCATTTCTTACTTAAGTTTGTTCAGCACTATTACAGCTATATGACGGCAGAATGATCATATTCGAGTTTGACCAGACAATCCATGTTCACGATTGATGTTATGATCCCTGCAATCGGAGAATGATAAAACGAAATCAAGCAAGTCCATCTGATCCATTAAGTCGCTTCTGACGACCAATTGGGGACCAATTCTAACTCGGTGTATGAGTTCATTAAGAAGACTTAAGTGTGTATAACGTTCCAAAAATTTCAGATTTTCAATAATAAATTATGATGTTTATTTTGTGTTTATTAAGTTATTATAGTCAATGTTATATACATGAATAACAATTTGTAGTTTCTACACACGAGTCCAAGTTTGTATTTATCCATGTTGTGTGTTATTGTGCGGCTTCACATGAAAGTTGGAGAGTTGGAGAACATGTTGTCAGTCATAACAGACTGTAAAGCTCAGAATCAACACTTTAATAACGTTAAAATACATACATATTAATATACTGCGTACAGTAAACTACGTTTATAACGAACACGCTTATAACGAACTGACGGATACAACGAACACATTTTTAGTCCCGACCATTTGTTGTACATATGCTGAATGAACGCTTAAAACGAACTACGGTTATTACGAATTAAAATTAGTGGTCCCCTCGAGTTCGTTATAACCGTAGTCTACTGTAGTTTATCGAATAAAAGCGACAAACCCATTTCCATTATCATAAGAAATCTCTGCTTCAAGCGACAACTGTATAAGGATCTACACTAAGACGTCGCCTTTACATTATTAAATAACTTTGACATCCGTCAACTTCTTAGCAATGCCTATCAAACAATACTAGTATATCATAAGTATATTTTATGAATCACCACCAATTAGTGATCATATCAAAAATTCGTGAAAAGATTCCCCACTGGTTGCAAAACTGGAAACCATAAATAGGTAGTCCACGTATTATCATAGCAAAAGTTTGAACTTGAATTTGAATTTGTAAAGTTATCTTACCTGAATGAGGCTCCAAGTCCTAGTGCCTGGGGGAAGGAGGTAGCGGCACCCGCCCACACATCCCCACGGAGACACTCGGTGTTCCAGGAGTAGGGCTTGATACCAAGACGGGGTATAGCAGGGGCGGGGCCGCCGTTTAGTCCTGAGCCCCCACGGGCCATCTGTAGCTGGATCTCGTCCAGGGTGAGGCGCCCAACGAGATCGTTGACTCTGTCCTCCCAGGGGAGAGAGGTATTTCTAAAGGGGTAGTCCCCCACCACCAGGGGCACGAAGACGAGTAGGAGGAGACACATTGTGTAGGAACGACACGGAGAGAATGACGTCGTCGGGATATGATACAGAGGCATAACGTGACTCATTTTATCTACATTTGGCTGCATGAATATGTATCGTGGCCCTTTTTCTTGGTTTTTAGAGAACATAGATTATGCTGAATAACAAACCATTTCGGAACCAGGTAGCCTTGGATGTTTTCGAAAATGTTTCTTGGCCTCTGAAAATGCACAAAAAATGTTTTCTTCATTTCTCTTGCGCAAAACAACAATTGTCAATTAGAAATTGGGAAACGGAATTCGAAGTAACCTTATGTTGTATTTTAGTTGAATATTATTAAGGAACTTTAGAATTGACATGTATAAAAGTGAATGGTTCAAAATATCTGTCATTATTTATATAAATAACTTTGTATTCATGTCTAAACTGTGCAATACATGACTTTACCTTTGACCTCCATTAGCTCTAGATTTCTGTATGTATATACATTGATTGACAGGAGACCTAAATACCCTTGGATTGTCTTTATACAAGTATTGTCCTGACAACTTGGTACAGTTATAGAGGTTTGTTGAGGATCAGTCGGCATCATAATAGCCTTCTTTGCTTCCCTAATGATTGTGTCCATATGTAGAATGACATAGAATGAGGTCATATGCTGATAAGAATGAATCCAACATTTGTTCCATCTTGTAGAACACGTTTACCGCAAAATACAATGTTTACAACGATTCGTTAACGTTGACATACTTTGATAATGAGTAGACGTTCTCTAAAATTGAATTTTCATATTGTGATTTCGTGCGATCTCCATAATTTCTAGAGATTTTCAATATTTTGAATGGTTGTGCAAAGGTAATGTTGGAAGTAGCTTCAATGAGACTATATTATCATTATATGAGACAGAAATGTGCATTTTGCAAGAAATATGTATGTCAAGGAGGTTGGTTGGTGGATAGGTAAGTTGGTATGTACGTGGAGATGTATGTGAGTATAATATTTGTTCCTAATATGTGTATATACTCAACAACAAAAAATTTACAAAGACAATCTGTTTACAATTTACTGCCGTGAATGGAATCATATCACAAGGGGAGAATAATGTTTTCGCTCCGACCACATGTAAATGAGTCTTGTCACACGAGGAGTTTCTGAGGCAAGTTGACAGTCAGTACCGACCTTTTTAACAGGCATTTAGAAATTGGAGTACTAAATGAGGAAAATATAGATATGGATGAACAGCTTCTTTGTTACAATAGGAGCTACATATGGGTGTAGATTCTAACACTGTTAACAAGCAGGTGATGTACAAAGTATGGCTGACAAGGTGAAGGCTTTGGGAACCTAGACGCAAAAGGGTGATGCTCACGCACCTATAACTAGGACCAGGGTGAATCTCTGTTTAGACGATTCGGACAGACAATGTAGGTGTGCCGGCCATAACATTTCCGAGTCCCGTGATGGGATTCGAACCAGGTTCGGACCCTATGTTCACATGGCCAAAGAGGTTAACCCCTCCAGCTGACGGGTAAGGATGTCATGAGTTGGAAATTACACAGTTAGTGACACCTGGGTGCATGTAGATAAAAGGAGCAAGACGCTGTCCATATTCACAAGACGCAACCAAAAGCAGTGTCGATTCTACGATCCTGACTCTATCATGATCATGAGCGTGTATTTATGAATCACCATCAAATAGTGATGACACCAGGTGTTCGCGAAAAGATGAGCGTACCCTCCCCTACCTGTGGCACCCGCCACAAACAAAAATCTTGCATGATGCCAGGGACGTCTATTGCATGGTTCATCTCTTGGCATGACCTCGCATCCATCCTTAACCTAAGCGTACCTTTGCATCAAATGAGAAACGTGACACAGATATAGTCTCTGGACCAACATGAACATTGAAATGTTTGCAACCGGCGTTGGCTCCGACGTAGCGGGGATCGCTTCCCTGGAGACCCTTCACGATATTTGCAGCAAAGGCTCCTGTCAGGAATGGATTCTCTCCGTATGTTTCCTGTAGCAAAATACCAATCAGATCTGTAGGAACATTGGCATGTTTTTGGTATGGGACCGCCATATACATAGAAGTGTTTGCAGCCTGAATTTGCACGGATATAACGTGGACGGTTGCCTTGGAGACTCATGACAACATGAGAGGCTAGCGCGCCGCCAAGAAAGGCTCCTCGTCATGAGTGTCCGGTACAATTACTTTTGTCACTATATACTGCTCAAATCGGTTTTAACTTTCAAAGAATATACATTCCCCAAATGCAAACCGGAAGGCAGATATGAACATTGTGCTGGGATAGTGTGGTATGCCGTAGAATATCTGTCAACCAGGGATTTGAGATCACTGAGCACGGAACCAGTTCATGTTAAGGGCAATGTACCATCACATTTGCTGCAAACATTATTGTGAAGAAGAACGCTGGGCACGTGGTGTTTTAATGTTCTGTCAAAATAAACAATATCTTCCTTGTCTCCTTTAAGAATTAGCGAGTCAGTGAGTTAAAAGTTAACGTCACATCGGCATTATTCCAGACATAAAGCGCCGAAAACGAGTTCTTACATACACGAGTGAGTCATGAAGGCAAAGTTATATTAAGAACAAATTTTATGAAACATATTTGGACTTAACAATATCATTGATACAGTTTAAAACAGGGGCTATTGGCCACCAGTAACCAAAGCTAGGCCACCTTGGTGGGGATCATGGGGACTTACGGTACCTCGGCTTCCTGCACGATACCCACTTTAAATATTAAATCAAAATGCTTTGTGTACGAAACCTTATTAACGGTAAATGATTTCTGAAGTTCTTTGCCTTTATGTGCTATCACAAACTGCATGTTTATCCACACGTGAAAAGGTATTGATTGTCGGCATGGACTGAAATTGTTCACATGTGCTATAAACGTCATCTAGCTTTAAACGAATAAAATAAATAAACTTTTAATCACGCCCTCGAACGACATAACATTTCACAAGAAAAAGGCCAAGGCTGACCCATCTGAGGTTACCTGATTCCTGTCCACCTGGAATCTCTCACGTGATTCCTGCCCCACCTGGTGTCTCTCGCGATGTTGATGACTTGACTGACACAGCTGATACCCTTGTAGTCGCCAAATTGTCCTGTCCTCTTGTAGTCATTAAACTTGGCCCTCACCTCCTCACCAGTGTCCTGGGCTACCCGGAATATCAGATCAGGGCTGCAGGAAGGGACGAAACAATTATATTCTTTGCAGGGATTTTATAAATGAAGTATGATATTGCAGATACATGAAGAGACTTGAAGCGAAATGAGTATTCGGTATTGTGCAATTTATTTCTACAAACATGATCAAGATAATATTAATAATGGACCAAGATTCTCAGTTAATTACTATACAATGCAACTGTTTATTATTTAGTATAATAACACCGGCCACGGTGGAACATGCGGTGTTCGTATTAATAGTGATTTTTGTACACAAACAAAGAAATGACATACGTTGCTTTTAAAAGGATAATCAATAATAACATAGTTTGTATATGATTCATTATTAGATTATATACTAATGGAGTGAGTGAGTATGGTTTTACGCCGCTTTTAGCAATATTCCAGCAATATCACGGTGGGTGACACCAGAAATGGGCTTCACACATGTCAGGAATCGAACCCCGGTCTTCGGCGTGACTAGCAAACGCTTTAACCACTAGGCTACCCGACCGCCCCTTATATACTGATGGAAGCGAAAATGGAAACAATGAAAAATATAAGGAAATAAGCTATACTGTTCAATACATAAATTCAATACATAACAGAATCAAATGTTGAGATGTGTTTGTGTGCATTATTTCCGGCGCGTATTTGGGGAGACAAGGCTGGGAACCAAAGATAGCTTATCGTTTTACTGGGTCTCAAACTAAGTGAGCTCTTATCTATTTAAGAATTGACCTTCACTTTGTGTGAGTTCATTGGAGTATGAACCTTCATAGAGTGAGGGCCAAACTGTATGAACGTCGGAGCTTGCACAAAGTGAAAGTCATTTTTTTTTCATTTTTTATCACAATTGCTTACCTCAAATGATGTAGGCCAAGATCTAAACACAATTTTATTTAGTACGAGTGACTTCATGTTTACACTGACAGCCACACAACAACCAGCTAAAATAGTTCCTCAAAAAGAGAGGTGACATGGGCGTATGGATGCACAACTTGCTCTTCAGAAACATCTTACGCAGCACATGTGTTCAAATCATATCCTCATTAGATGAGAAAGGTCTGTAAAGAACTACGTCAGTAAGTCAGTCAGAATGACAGCGCGTCGTAGTACATGTACATCAAGTACAAGACGTCAAAATGGCCGACACGATAAACGTGACGGGAGAGATTTCCGAAGTTGTTAATGAACCATGTGCATTTTATCGTTTGTTCATTAGGATAGGCCGCAGCGAGGATATTTGTGAACAATCATCCAGTCACGCTCTCTGACATTTCGCAATGTTTACTGAAACTCAGAGACCAAGAATAATGATCAGAAAGAACGCTTATGTATGTTTTCGTGCTAGGGAATTTCCAGGGGTTTCCCCAGGAATGTGGAAGTAGTCCGTCAGTGTTTACGTCATTTCAAGAACACGGTCTCGTGAAAAACGTTTGAACGTCAAATCGTGTCGTTCATACACTTATGAACGTCAATTTCGCGATTATGTGACCGACCTCCCGTCCAATGGAAAAGCCGTATATCGTGTAAACTTCAAATTAAAAACATATTTCCACATGTATATATTAATCAAATATGTTCGAATAAAGTTTAATACGAACTGCATGAATACGTGTTACTGTGCGTCCACATCAAAACAAAATCACAGGAACACCAACTGAAAAATACATTAATGTTCAAAATAGGTTTCTGTATTGTGAGAAATAATGTGATGAACACATACATATTTGATCACACTTGTTGTTCATCATAATTGCACCAGTAGTCTTGGTGTCTGTGTTTTAATTCTGTTTTATGTTCTGATGAGGGACGGGGGACACGGGTGGCCCAGTCGTCTAAG